CCTAGATAGTGTTAAATCAGCTTGACGATATAATAATCATTTTGTAACAAAATATGGAATTCTAAGTTAAAACGGAGCGAATTTTCATAATCAGTCTGTTCTCATAAACAGTATCATAAGAGTAGAAATAGGAAATTGAATCAGACCTAAATATATTTATTTATAAAATAATGGTAAGTAATTAGTAGAATGGGTTCAATGAAGATTGGATTGCAAGATTATGAAACAGGTGACATAAAATGAAAATTAGAAATTTAACTATTAAACAAGTTTAAAGACTTAAAACTTTCTCAAAAACGTAGAAGCATCTAAGTATAGATTTGTCTCGATCTAAGCGCTTTGATAATATTAGTTGGTAAACGAGAGCTAAGGCAAGTGATCCATTGACGAGATAGGCTACTCTAATCCAAGCGTCCCAAGGCCCTGCTAAAGGTACCGAAAGGTCTTGATATGGTGTAGAAAATGTATTCTACAAGCGCCCAGAAAATATGAGGTCCACAAGCACGCAAGTCGAGTTTATTTATATATGATAGAAACGCGTTTCAGAGAGCCACAAAAATAGCGTACTGAAATAATACATCAACCAATCACAGTCAAGGATTTTCTTGGTGAGACATGTAATCTCAAGGTCAACTGATCAGCCGATGTGCTAAAAGATAAAATCCAAAATTAGGACCTCTATCAAGTGAGTTCTGGGGATCTAACGTCATCAACATTCATGTTTTACTGTAAGCTGATATAATAAACTACCTTTCACGCTTAGCAAAGATGGATGGGGATAAGCAGCAGAATTCCTGAAGCGCAGTTCTTCTTGTTTGGAACGCATCAGCTGGATGTACCTACATTTCAGAGTCAGTTTTCACTCCTGAATTCGAACCCAAGACCTTCCACTTCGAACGCCATCACGATATCCATTCCATGCAGCCGAAATCTTGCGCAATTGGGTGGAGAATAATTCATCTGAAATAGTCATTTGCATTTTCTTATTGATAGTTCAGACTGCTACTGATCAGTCTCTGTTGCATATGTGCATCCTGTATAGACTCCTTCGCTATTACCACTAGACTGAAACAACATTTACTTTTCCTAGTTTATTTATCTATGAAAGTTTAAATTTCAAATCCATGCGAAGACCAACCTTACTTCTGAGACCAATATTGATTTACAAATTATTCTTCGTTACAAATTTAAATTAAGTCGAAAGTCTTTGGTTAATCAATTGCTTACTTTTTATATCTCAGATTATTTCAAACTTCTTCAAGTCACAATGAATGATAATCATCCAGTTAAACAACTTATAACGTTTTAATCAAGTATAATTTAATTATTTTATTTTTTTTTATAAATAAACATTGACATTTATACGATTTGATGTGAGATGAAATTTAAGTTTTTGTTGAATTACAGGTATTCTAAATAAATTGTAATATGCTTTAATCGTTATTTCGCATAACTGATTCAAATATATATATATATATATATATATATATATATATATATATATATATATATATATATATATATATATATATATGGTTCATTCATACAAGTTGGTAAAGCATATCATTATTCACCAGCTAATCATTTAACGGTAATGAATCTTTTATTTTATTGATTTAGTCATTGAATAAATTTTTAATTAGGATTATGGAGTTTAGTGTTTTTGTACGTTGAAATCATCGATCAATCATTGTTAGACCACCATTAGAAACCTGGAAGCACTGGATGGCCATTTCGTCCTGGTTTGGGACTCATCAGCAGTGCGCATCCACGAATCCTACATTTCGCAGACCTACTGTCATGCACGCAAACGCCTAACCTCTAGACCAGATTGTAAATCCTATTTTACTTCCTTCCTTTATCTATGTTTACTTCAACTGCTTGAATAGATTCTGCATCTCTAGTTTCTCGTAATCTATGAATGTATACATAACTTGATGCGATATAGTTGTATTTGTGTACACATGTTTCAAGTTTTAATGTTGATTATGATTGACTGCCCTTAAAACTTAAAAAAAGTTTTTGTATTTTAAGAAAATATTAAAGTATTTGAGCAAATACTATAAAGAAATGAGATGACTTATTGTCATCATCATTGGTTATAAATAACTTTTCTCTTTAAACTCATTACAATCTAACTAAGAATATTTGCTTTATTCGACGGGTTTAGTAACAGAAATTAATGATGATCTCTCATATAGATAATATGTCAGTGTGTTGGAAAGATTTGTAGTTGTTCAATAGTTGGATTTCTTTATTTGTACACCTTTTTATAATTAGTTTGTTAATGCGGGCCTTTTCTGATTTCGTAAACAATGACAATAAGGGGAACTTATGGTTGACTGTCTTAATAGAATGACACGCTGATCATATGGGAGCTACTAATATCCAGTACAAGGATGAAAACCGAAATCAAAAATTAATCATGTAAAAGGTTCTCACTAACTACACAATCAGTAAATTTATTAATATTAAGTCATGAAGAGATTTTAAGACATTTGTAAGACATTTGTAGTTGTCTTATAACATAGTGAAATAGACTAAACACTACTGATTATAGAGATTATTTTAAAAAACATCTGACAATTTCTCGGAAACGGATCAATACATTTTAAGTTATGTTAACAACAACCTCTGATGAACATAACCAGTTTATGATAACCGCATTCAGGTTTCTTAGACATTAACCCAAGTTATATCTACTTTTTAAATAAATAGTTTTTCTCTCTACTTTCAGTTCAACTGGGCTTGTAAGTGTTAAATTGATCAAAAAAGTATAGTTTAAATATATACGGTTAAAATCATCATCAGTCATCATCAACAGCAAAGTAGGACTTCGTACGTACGTACATCAGTTCAGGTTACTATACCACATTAGCACAGAGACTTAGTTGTCAGTTCAAATCCCATTGTGGTAGAGATAGTAAAAGTATTAGCGGTAATCTTAGAGATTGGTTTCTTGGATATTATTCGGGAAGTAGAATCTAGTGAAATAAACTGAAAAAGAAAAAGATAAAGGTGATGAGGAATTCAGAAGGTTAGGATTTGAGAGAACACAGAATGAATACACGTGCACTATTGCAAACGATTCTGAGCCATGTCGTTCAGCGTCTCTAACCGTCGATTGCTATCATCTCGTGAGCCCCAACCAGGTAGTCGACACCTACGAACATGACTCATTCCACTTGTCAGTAACTTGACGGATTTGTGCCATGGTTTGATCTGACCGTCTCTAGCTTTATTCCAACCTACACCTACTCCACAAAACATAACTCTCGAGGCAGTCGGTGGTTAGGCATGAAATTTCAATGTTTCAACTACTGATCTCTCATCCTTACCTACTAACTGTTTTCTAACAACAGCATCGTTTACTCGATTGTTCCAGGATATACGAGCAATGCTTCGACGACACCTTAGATCTAATACAAGCAACCAACAAATATCCTTTACTCTCACCGGCCATGATTTACAGCCATAAAGTAGGACTGAGCGAACTGCTGCTCAGTTCACTCGTCCTTCGGTTAGAAAACGGATATCTCCCCTTCCTCTTAGGTGACGAAGGTTGGCAAAAGCCAATCGAGCTTTCTGTATCCGTGCTCAGAGTTCGTCAGTCACCAGGTCATCAGCACTGATGAGACTCCCAAAATAAGTGAAGTGGTCTACACCCTCAACTATTTACTCCGTATCACTAGTTCAGGTACCGACGAAACCCAATCTTTAAACGACATTTTGCATTTCAACAGGGAGAATCACTTCCCGAACATGCCTGCATTATTACTTGGGGTAGTCAGGAGATACTGCATTTTGTCGGCTTCTTCATCAGGTAGAACTATGTCGTCGGCATATTCTAGGTCAATAAGCGAGCCTCCTGGTAGAAGGTGTATTCCTGAAAATTCAGACGAACATAATGCTATATCTAGGGGCATGTCTATGACAAAATTGAACAAGAATGGGGAAAGTAGACATCATTGACGGACATCACTTGAAGTAAAGAATTCGCCATAAGCTCTCACTCGACCACTGGTGTTCGAGTAGAGATCTTATATGAGGTTAATGTGCTTCTTTGGTACACCTTTCAATGACAGACACTGCCACAGAGCGGCAGTCTTCAACAGAGCCTCTACGCCGATGGCTTATGGCGATGTGATCTATTTGGGTCGATCGTTGGGTCGGCTTTGGGGTTCGCCAGGTCAAAAGGTGTTTTTCCTTAAGCTTAAATCTATTGTTTGCTAGACGTAGGCCATTATCTGAGCATAGCTGCATCTGACGGTCACAATTATCTATTGTATTAGCCGTGACACCATAAGATCCACCCAAGTGTCTTTCCTTTTCGCTGAGACTACCTACTTGAGCGCTAAAGTCGACAGCCATTATTACTACTATACCAGAGCGCTTACCACTTTGCAGAAGTTTAGAGAGGTTCCTGTACAACTTATGTCGTCTGAATTGCAGTCAGTGGGAGCGTAGGCATATACGACATAGAAACGATGGCGAGTTTCCCTATCCTTCCGAGTCCTTACTGTCTCGTTCAGCCGGATGGCGCACAAGCGTTTAATCACAACTGAATTACTGCAAATTACTCGGATGCAGTAAATTTTGATAAAATGTTCTTATTTTAGTAAATAAAGCTTGATTGGTTCGCATGAATGGTAACTGTATGTCGTTTTTAAGAAAGTTATGAACACATGCAAACTTACCAGTATCCGTTAAACAACATAATTGAGGGGCATTTTCGTAATTTTTCAATGAAATTATGATCATATAATCTCATTTTTTGTTGTAAAAAGTATGTAATGCCTAAAATTACTACTGTCATGTATGTAAAAGCTATCTCAAGATAAAGATTAATTACCTAAGGCTAACTGGGAGATGTTAATATCTAGGTACCTTAAAATGACCATTAAAGCGTAGTCGAATTTAAGGGTCGAAGGAATTAATACTCAGAGTTTTAAATTAATTTTAGTGGTCATATATATATATATATATATATATATATATATATATATATATATATAAAATTAAAAATATTAGTTTGAATTTTGCTTGTTATTGTTAAAATCATAAGATCAGATCTTTAAATAAATATATAAAAAGGGCAGGAGCTGTCTGAGGTTCGTTTTGAAATATTACACAAAAGCAAAGAAGTATCTTCATTATGCTTTTATTTAGATAGATCACAGAGAGTATATGTTGATATAAAATTTTAAATTTGCGGTGATAATGTTATGAATGAATAAAAATTAAATTATCTTCATCAACGAATAGTAGTTAGACTATATTATCATGAAACATTTTGGAACTGGTAGTGGATTTTACTAAGGGTGTATCAGAAACAGAGGGCCATGCTGTGAATATGTCACTTTGTGGTTCACTCAAAAAGCTCATCACATAGTCATCAGCATCTATATCGTCAGATTCGCATAGCGAAGATAGCATACTGTCCAAAGTATCTTCAGACATATCCAATTGTAATTCTTCTTTCTCGAATTTCCGAAGTTGCTCAGAGACGTTGGTTTTGTCCATGGCCTAAAATCAAGAACACATGAAGTTGATGATTATAGCTTCATACACCTATATAACTGTCTATATTCACTACAGTCATCACAGTCATCATTATTCTAGAAGGAAGCTTTGGCTGAACTATGACAAAATGTGAGTTTTTTCCCCATCAAAAATAAGTTCAAATAATGGGATGAAGCAACATGACTTCACATAAATTCTTGTACTTATAAATGCTATTCGTAAAGCAAAGTTAAAAGTGTAAGCATCGATATCTCTAAGACCAGTCAATATTCACAAAAATCTGATCGAAGACCAGGTTGAAACTCTCTGATGGCATAGTATGTCTAATTGTCTTTCGTTTTAACAGCAATCGAAATTCTCCGACTAAAAATAGTGTAATACCTAATTCTGTTTCAACATAAATAGTAGACGTAATGAAACAAAATTTAATGCTACAATACGGTAAATGTCAGGTTCAACACATAGTTTTAGCTTACCTATTACTCTATTACAGCCTACTGATACTAAGCTTGGTCGGTTGCCAATATTCAGCTAGGTAGTAAAGGTTCACTGTGAATTAAACTGTTGCAACCTGATTAGAGACCTTTTATCAGTTTGTATATTGTGAAAAATCGTTTCCTGGCAAACTGTTTGCCTACTTTATGCTTATTGCCTAATAGAAATGATATAGAATTCAAGGATTTGATATTCCAATCACTATTCTACTCCCGATCATTTCCTTTACTTATTTCGGCAGCTACTAGACAGCTCGATAATGCAACAATTTTTTGTAACTGAGAGTCTGTCATACCCTTACATTTCATTGTATTCTTCTGAACTACAATAATCTCGTTAAATGCATTGAATTTAAAAGTTACCACGATAATATAAGTGAATCAAATACCTTATTGAAATTCTTCATGGTTTCTGAGGCTAATTCCATTGATTCTCCACATTTGGCTGCGTGCACCAAAGCCGTCTGTCTCCTCTGCACGATATTCATTTGGTCTGCGAAACGAGAATTCCTGGTCTTCAAAGCTCGAATTTTAGTTAACTCCTGAGCTAACGAAATACAAGCTGCTCTATTCCCCTGACTGGCAGCTCTTCTTATGTCATTTTCTAACGCTTTTTCTTCCCTCTCCAATTCACTTATATTTCGTCCGATCGACCGCTGAAGGGTTTGATTACCCTCTTTTCCCTTTTTCTGAGCATTTTTTAGTTTTTGCAATACTATAGATGCCATAGGTACTTCTAAAACCTTTAAGGTACAGTTTCAACAGGAATAACGTGGTTAAAACAAGTATTAACACGTATTAACTGTTATGACGGAGTGATAAACTGAAAGCATTAATACTTTATCCATTTCGGTGGGACCTAACTATACGATCATCATTTTTTAACACAGTTACTAAGAAAGAGTTAGGCATCTTATACAAAAAGAGTCATAACTTGAAAGTTGCAGTTAATTATTGCCAGGGAATATGTCTCCAAATATAACAAAATCAAAATGAAGGAGTTAGATTTGGACAGTATGTTTTTTACGTGTGTCTAAATTCAATCATATTGATAAAACAAGATCCACCATTCCTAAGATGTTTCTAAATATTATATGGAAACGCACTTCCTAAACTAATTTTTATTCAAAAAATATATCTTTTCAGAGTGCGAAACTTTACCTATGGGTCCATAAGCTGGTTACGTAAACAAAACAGAAGAGTAGGAAGGCTTAAGTGCCAGAAAAATGACACGCAGTGTAAGCTTGTTAGCTAAAATCTAAACAGAATGACTTACATTCACTCTTCTAACTAGAATATATAAATATAGGTTTCTGAAAATTTGCCAGAAGAATCCGAAATAACCTCAGTCCTTAACTAGTTATAAAAAAATTTAAAATGGAAATCTAATGGAAGCACACATTGTCCTGTCGACGACGGCCTCTTAAAAGCATATAATCACATCAGAACTAAAAATTATATACACATAGTCGAAACAATAACTCTAAAGTATCTGTTCCTTAACTCTTCTAAACTCCTAACGTGTCCAAGTCCAATACTTATATGGGATGAAGGCTGCTCTTTAAACCACTTATTAGTTTTAGGTAGTTTACATGTTGTTTAGTTACCATTAAAAAGATATTATCAAGCTCCCAAGACCGTATATATATATTAAAAAATTAAATACTAATATAAATAGTGTAAGGTCTAAATTATAGAGACTAACTAGTTTCGTCGTTTGTCGCGAGAACTGATCTTACATCTAAAGTGTTTCAAATTAGAGCAAGACTCAAGGTTTCAATATCCAATATAGTTTTACGCGCCAGAACGAATCATTTGATTACTTTGCGCTTCATTCTTGTTCTTTCGGTAAATTTCCGGGCATTTAGTAGTGAAAAAGTGCATGGTTAAGCTTCAGTTCTGTTTCTCAGTGTTAAAATGAGATAGAAAAAGTCTACTCTAATCAACTTTTGTGTTCAGGAGCAACGGATTGACGAGTCCTTATGAATATTGAAAGACTGTTTGGGAGTCGTTTGAACAGTCTTGAGCGGCAATGAAAATCAGACCTTGGTCTTTCGTTAGAGGTGAGAAGTGTAGAGTGTCTAGAGTTCTCTGGGATGTTTTGACTCTAATTTCTCGATATTTGACCAAAGGTTTGCGTTTAGACTGAGCATCAGTATTTTCTGTGATACCTAGGATAGTTTGGCTGTTATATGCTATAGGAAGTTTGTTTGTAAACATGCACTTTCTATGGAGGAACTATCTAGTGATTTGATGAATATTTCACAAGTTTTAAACTTGAGCCTTCCAAAATGACTTTGTAGTTCGCCTTTGGATACACTTCAGTGTATTTTGACCCTTTCGAAATGATGAGGGAAAATTTTGCACACATACTGTACATGGTGATGAATAAAACCCTTAAGGTATTCATGAACAATTCTACTGTCAAACTGGCAGGAATCCGCTTCAACCTTCCACAACTGTCGCACAACTTTTGCAACAGCATAATACATTACATAACTGGATATCAAGACTCTTTTCAAACTTGAGACATTTATAGACTGGAATCGCACAGGTTATGTGTACAGCTTGCTAAATGCATCATGTGGATTGCTGTGCCCTGTTAAGTGTTGAAGTGAGTCGTCTGTTATTTCCAAAAATCAGAAACCAAATCAGATTCGCTTTAAGTTTAAACACCTCTTCAAAATTCAATATCAATCAAGTTTGTAGCTCAGACGATATGTTTCAACTGAGATTCCACAGTGTTGTTACAGCTTAAGCGAGGTTAAACTTGACCTTGTAATATCTGTTGTTTAGACATAAAGCAAAAATTTTGATTGAAAATAACTTGATATCTTACAGTTTCATGGTTGGGAGATCTTTAATTGGCCGTTCTAACACTGTTTGAGAAGTTGAGGCCTGTCACACGGAAATTCTCTTCTTGATCAATAATCATGGTCCATTTGCAGGAAATATGTTATATACCTTTTGTAACTTGTTGTTAGTTGGGAATAAATTATTATTATTATGCAATCGTCTCAGTCAGCTGATCAGTTGTACAGGAGTACCTCTTACTGTAACGTTATTGCTGGAGAAAAAGTGTTATTGGATGGTATGCAGTTGCACAAACTGTCATATTTCAAGAACATCATAAATGGAAGAAGTGCTACCAGGCTATAACTTAAACGTTAATTACCTTTGAAAATCGGCGAGACGTGAGCCAGTTTCCAGTTTTCGCGGACAGTGCTTCAGTTAAACGAATGTGAGAATATAGATATGATGGAAGCCATTTTGGCTGATTTAAAAGAGTGAAAAACTGACGGGCTAGGTTGAGCATTAATAATATACTTACTGCTAAAGAAATAGCGTGTTAAAAGAGACATGTTACAAACTCTATCAAATTTGTTGTAACAAACTGCACAGTTGAATTACCAATAAATGTCTTTTTTATGACAGCTCGTTTACACCACGTCACCGACTGTAACAGTTTGGTAAAGCAACATTTTCTACAAGTGATTACGAATAGGGTAGGTGCATAGCATAGTTCTTGTGCGGTCTGCATATTACAGGAGTGAATTAGTTGGGAAGTGTTGACTGGGATGTGCTTGTTATAAACCATAAGCTTGTAGAAAGCGTAAGTATAGTGGATTTAGTGTAGAAGCACAGATATTCCACTTTAGACAGGGTTTTGAGTAGAGACTAATGAGCGAGATACGCGCCCTTCCTGAATATCCAAATTAAAGATCAATTTATCTGAGTAAGAAACGATTCTGTTATTAATTAAAGTTCGAAGATCATTACTCCAACAATATTAAACTTTTATACCTCCAAATTAACATAATTTGTTTCCAGTCCTGGAATAATGCTTCCGTTTAGGCCCAACACTTCACCCTTCAAGTCCAGACGTACGTTTCCCTCACTAAGGTATCAAATCCAACATGGCTGACGCCGTTATTAAAAATCAATTTAAACAACATAATACGGTTCAGTAGAAAACACAGAAACTCCAATACAGGTACAAAAATAGGAATCTTAACAAAATAGAATTATTAACATCAGAAAAATGAGATTAAACAGAGTACCAAAATGTAGCACAGAAAGAGTCAGTAAGAACATATTACAAATATGTACATGGAAGGATTTTCCCAAAAACCAAGCCTTCAAACTGGATTGTACGATGATCTCAAGCACACAAATCGCGTTTATTTATACATCATAGCAATGTCCTTGGAGAGCTACAAAAAAAGCCTTCTAAATTAGCACATCAACTAATCGCAGACAAGGATTTTACTGGTGGGAAATGTAATCTCAAGGTCAACCGATGAGCACGTGAATGAAATCTAAAATTATGAGTTCTTAGGATCTAACTTCCTCACTATAATAGCAATCTCAGTAGCACTGATTTGTCAACTATTCAATCAAAAATGTCAGAAGGCAAACTAGGTGTTCCGCTCCACAAAGATGAGTGGATAAATGTGATCGCCCTCATCACCAATGCTCGCTGGTTATTATTCCACATTCACACGTTTTATGTTTGTTAGGCTCATTTAACATCACTTTAAGATAATATTTCTGTTCTAGTCGAGACTTCTTATTTCATTTACTTGTTAAGATTGTCAAGTTTTCGACCAGCGCTTAGGTTTACTTCCAGGACCTCTCATAGATTGCAGGGTGTATGTGGCAGTGCAATTGTTGAAAATATCGTCTTGCTAAATGGTCTGCAGAATGATTCATATTGCTTGTTAGACCAAAGAGATATGACATGTAGGAAACTCTGAACAGAACCCCCTTGTAGTATGTGGGACCGTCTGCTATTATAAATATTTTTCGGCGTCTTCATGAAGTGAGGCGTAAATTTTTCCACTTGCTTGGTGATGAAATACCTTTCAGAAACGACAGATCTAACCGTTTGAAATTTCAGTACGGATTGTTAGTAGGATGCTGTAACCCAGCCTTAATGACAAATATAAAATCACTAGCACTGTAATTGCTTTTACCCAAAGGAAACCAGGGTAGAAACATCATCATTCAGGACTTCTTCAGGCGAGAAAATGGAGTACAAAAGTGATGGATTTTGACTGATTCTACAGGAGGTTGCTAGTTTTGCATGTAGACATAATGTTATTTCTTCACTCGCTGATGAACCGAACCTTTATAGAGTTATCAGCTCCTTTGTGTGTTTTGTCATCAATGTTGATTTTAACAAGATTGAATTCTCCTGAGATTAGGAGATAAGTATCTCAAAAAAGATAGAGTGAGGTAATCTTTTCAGAATATGATTGTGATGATTTCTTAATGAAACTCAACTAGTTATCTAGGGTTCTTAAACAGTCGCACAGAGCAGCAATTCAGGAAAGGTATATTCGGCAGAATCCTTATGTTCTCTGCTAAAATTTCTAGCGAATGTTTTAAGAAAGAATCCTCAATTATGTGGGTATCTGATGTCATCGTGCAGCGTCAGTTCGAAAATCGTTTGTGAATCAATTTCAATAAGTCCGTGCTTTTTATATTATTATGCCGGCAGCGTCCAGTCTGTTTCACCTAGTAAAGGTCAGCGTAGAGTAGGATCGATCTTGAAGATGATTGACTATTTGTGGACCGCCAAAGCTTTGATCACTTTTCCACGTCCTAGGACTTGTCAGATAAAGTTTGTATTTTAAAAATTGATTGCGAATCGGAATTCCGAAACCTACTTGAAATTCTTAGGTAGTCTTTGAGTGTAAGAACCATATCCGTTGGCTTTGTTTGTGAAAATCCCTTTATGTAGGCATTTGTTATTTGTCTTTATAGATTCCTTCTTTTGTACATTATGTTGATCTGTTCGATCCCATTTCGAGATGATAATATTTGTATTTTCTTACAGTTTCTATTTCTGCTGCCTTCACTGAGTTTCCATTTTTCCTTCCGAACTGCATTTATGTTGTTTAAGCTGATATTTAGTCATGGCGACAGCCATATTGATTTGTTCCTCTTTTAATTGGATTGCTTGTACGGACTGGAATTGTGCATTTTGATTGTGAATTGATGCACTCTTCCGGAATAGGAAAAACTCTGTGTTATTAAAGTAACCAGATATTATCTTTTGAAGGAATCTGATCTATTCAGGATGGATAAAATAACATTTATTTGAATAATTGAACAACTGTTGAAGGAATAACTGAGTGGTAATATTTGTTTAGGTAATCAATGTAAATGTATTTCTACAGTGGCCGTCCCAATTGGTTCCAATAGAGGCACTCCTGTACGCTTTCACCAGTTCCGGGTCCCAACCAATTCAAAAAGGACAAATTCTAGGAGAAAACGTCTCTGTATTAGTTAAAAAATGGAAATACAAAGCATTACGGATATAGTGCTTCTTCCAGGGTAAGGTTACTCCGCAGAGTATCAGACACAATAACAATAAGTGACGCTAAGTCCAGCGGCCACTGCGTCCGTCCAAAAATGTGGCGGTAGCCATATTATATCAAATTTAAACAACATATGAACAGTTCAGAAGCAAACACAAAAACTTCAATATAAGTACAAAATATAGAAAGAATAACAATATACAATGATAAAATCTCAAATTGGAATCAAATAAAGTACCAAAAATGTCAACAGAAAAAGTCCGTCATGTCATAGCAAAAATATGTAAACATGGATGGATTTTCCAAAACACAAAGCATTCAAAAAATGATTCTACAATGATGTATATTTATATTTATGATGTATATTAGAACCGTTATTTATCCGAATCACTTGTTTTGATTTCGACTGAAAAAGACGCGTATCAAACCTCCTATACAGTTATTTTTCCGTCCAAAACTCAGTTTTTATCCAACATTAT